AAGTCAAGTGAGGAGATGCAGGTGAGGAGGTGCAGGTGAGGAAGCAGAGGTGAGGAGGCGCAGGTGAGGAAGTCAGGTGAGGAGGCGCAGGTGAGGAGATGCAGGTGAGGAGGTGCAAGTGAGGAGATGCAGGTGAGGAGGTGCAGGTGAGGAGGCGCAGGTGAGGAAGTCAGGTGAAGAGGTGCAGGTGTGGAAGCACAGGTGAGGAGGCACAGATGAGAAAGTCAGGTGAGGAGATGCAGGTGAGGAGACACAGGTGAGGAGGTGCAGGTGAGGAGGCACAGGTGAGGAGGTGCAGGTGAGGAGGTGCAGGTGAGGAGGTGCGGGTGAGGAGGTGCAGGTGAGGAGGCGCAGGTGAGGAAGCACAGGTGAGGAGGCACAGATGAGAAAGTCAGGTGAGGTGGTGCAGGTGAGGAGGTGCAGGTGAGGAGATGCAGGTGAGGTGGTGCAGGTGAGGAGGTGCAGGTGAGGAGGCGCAGGTGATGAAGTCAGGTGAGGAGGCACAGGTGAGCAGGTGCAGGTGAGGAGGGACAGGTGAGGAAGTTCAGATGAGGAAGCACAGGTGAGGAGGCGCAGGTGAGGAAGCACAGGTGCAGAAACACAGGTGAGGAGGCATCCACTGCTTCCTCCTGGGCTTTGGTTGACCACCTTCCTTTGGAAATATCCCTTCTCTCTCTCTCTGATCCTACAGAAAGCTGCCTCAGCTCAAGACCTGGAAAGGTGTCCCCTCTTGTACTCTGCTCAGCACCATGCTATTAATATCTAGATGCTAATTGTCCTAGTGCAGTCTCTTCATCTCTCTCACTATGCCCTGACTTCTCAGGCACCCAGGACCACGTGCCATACTCGTCTTTAAGTCTTGCAACGGCCTGCACAGTGCTAGGCGCTGGAGGTTGTAGATTAGTTTACAGTTAGTGAATTACAAAATAACAAGGAACAGAATAGAAACATGTTGCGTTAAGTATTTACCTTCACTGATGACTCAAAAGTCCCATGATTTTGTAGTATTTACAGAACAGTATTATGAATGTTAGTGTTCATTTTTCTGGCGATTATTTAGTTTGAGCAGTCAGATCCTGATGTCTTCCGTGATGACGAACAGTCAGGTTCTGAGGTCTCCCATGATGACAAGAGTCAGATCCTGAAATCCATGACGGTGACTTGCGAAAGTCTAATGGATATTCTGTAATGACGTGCCATGGGCTTCTGTTGTTTCACCTCACCCTCATGCCACATATTAGTACTCACAGCTGAGAGTTTAGACCTAAGACGGGCAATAAAATTGGGTTCAAATACAGTTGTAAGGGACTTGCCCCAGATTACATAATTTTTTGGGTAAAGACCAAATTATACAAATCCTCAGATTCCCAGGTCAGGGATTGGAGTTTCTTTCCTATAACATGTTTCTTCAAATATGGTTTTATCCACGTTTCATATCAAGGGGACCCAGGAAAAATGATGAATAATCAGACAGCATGATATGGACACAAGGTCATGAGCAATCAAGGGTTCGGATAGAGCTATTAGGAAGAGCCTGAGGCCTATGAGCAGTAGGAATATTGTTCTATGTATTTATTGGCCTTGTAACTATGGTTTAGAAGTGGTGGGGATCCACAGAGGTATACCTACAGAAAGATTTAAAAGAAGTAAAACTCCCAGCCTCAATGTGGTATCATCCCACCCTTAGTACCTCTATCTCAATCTTGGCCTTCATACACATATCAAGAAACTTTCCCTTCTTGTAATACAAGAACTTTCAGATATTAAAAGCCTTTTCGGGATTCTCTCTCCTCTGTGGCCTCTTCAGCACTGGTATTGGAAGCCATGGGTTGATGTTATATGGTTGAGTGGTTTATCTAGGAATGTCTCCTGGCTCCGGGTCCCTTTTGGTGTAAGTTAGCTTCTTCCCCTGTCCGTACTCAGTCTTAGCTGGTCACTGACTATGTGATATCCTTTCTAATCACTTGGGTCCTACTACAAAAACAAAATAACACAACATAGAGTAAATACATTATTGGGATGGCTAACAATCATCGGACATTTTTCTCTGTTCATTACCTTGAAGAGCATAATGTACTCCCCCAATTTATTTTAAATAAAAAATCTTTAGAATGTAATTAATGGAAGTACTCACTACTGTGGATTGGGTAGTTTTTATATGCTGCCTTACCAGTTTGCTTAAAGGGGCAATGTCTTTCCTTATTCTCAACCTTTACAAAATAGTGTACAGAGAACATGCTTAAAGAGTGTGTAATCCCAGTACTTAAGAGGCTGAGGCAGGTGGACTGCTTGAGCCCAGAAGTTTGAGACTAGCCAGTGCAACATAGCGAGACCTGTCTTGACAAAAAATTAAAAAATTAGCTGGGTGTGGTGGTGTGAACCTGTAGTTCTAGCTACTAGGGAGGCTGAGATGGGAGGATTGCTTGAGCCTAAGAGATCAAGGTTGCAGTGAGATGAGATAGCACCACCGCACTCCGGACTGAGCAATGGAGCAAAACCCTGTCTTGCAAGAAAGAAAAAGGAGTGTGTCACTTATAACATTCAGACTCAGCTCATAAAATCCAAAAGAAAGTGGAGTTTTGAGAGTGTTAAAATGCACCACTGAGGGAACAACTAGAAAATGTGGAAAATCTTTCTCTTTTTGTTCTATCATTGTACACTATAGCTACTGGTGATAGTATTAAGGCGTATTTTACAATTCATATTTGGATTCGATCACAGGGCTCATACTCTCTTATCTTCCCCTCACAAGTTTTACCATAAGAGTTTTGTGGTAGTTAGAGGAACTCAATATAGCTGCAAGTATTTCGCTGAATCTACTATGATCTGTGTCACTTGAGGCACAGTATGAGCTCATGTCATTTCTTGGATGACATGCACCCCTCCCCTAGCTTAGTATTCCCACATTTAGTCATCCTCAAATTCGCTCAGCTACCTCCAGTGGAGTGGGTTCCAATCTCAATGGCATCTCACTAGCTCCCCGGTCACATTGCCCATTTGCAGTGATGGTATTTATAAAAGGTGATTTCTTTTGTCAGGGTCTGCACCGCTATAAAATTAGTCTTTCGAACCAGAAATTTCAACAGCTAAGCTACTTTAAAAAGTGTATCTGCTGCTACTTCAAGCAGCCGACTGTGGAACTGGCTTCTGATTTTAAAAGATGAGTGAAAGATGTGCCGTGGTTTCCTCTGCAGAATGTTCAGATCAGAAGGCCCCTGGAAGACCGTGCCTGAAACGCGGTGAAGGCACCACGAAGCTGAACAGAAAACGGGGCCTTATCAGAGAGAAGGGAAGGGCCCCACAGTCCAAACGCCCAGGAGGCTCCGCCCTGACCCGTGGCCACACGTGTTTGCTGCAGGACGAGAATCTGGGGAAGACTCAGTGAAGAAAATGGCCTGGCCAGGCCAGGAAGAGCAGTACACAGAGACCCGCAGCAGAGAGAGGAACAGGGGGACCCTGCCCCAGGAGCCACCCTGGCTGAGGCTCAGGAGGGGAGCTGCGAAGCCTGAAACACATCGATGATGGCTGGTGATGAAAACATGTGGGCGGACCTGCTTTGATAGCGAGATGGACAGGTCTGAGCTCACACATCCTCGGGATAACAAATAAAACCCTGTGGAAATGAACATGAGATACTGGGCCTCATTCCCCAACCTGTAGAGATGACTGAGAAAGGCTTCCAGAACCTCGAGGACGTTACAACTTCCAGCTGGGTCAAACTTCTCAGGGTGCTGTGAGGCCAGGGTAGAGACACGCCCTGGGTGACCCAGGGATGACGGAGTCTCTGGAGCATGGAGACACCGTGAAGATGGGGATGGAAGCCGCCTGCCCCACGGAGAGGGAAGGGGGGCCGGCCACGTCTCTCCCCACGAACAAAAACCATGAGGTACCTGAGAGGAGCACAGAAAAGAACACAGCCCTCACACACCTCAGGACACACACACACACACACAACCCTCACACACCTCAAGACACACACACACAACCCTCACACACCTCAGGACACACACACACACAACCCTCACACACCTCAGGACACACACACACAACCATCACACACCTCAGGAAACACACACACACAACCATCACACACCTCAGGACACACACACACAACCATCACACACCTCAGGACACACACACACAACCCTCACACACCTCAGGAAACACACACAAACACACAACCCTCACACACTTCAGGACACACACGACCCTCACACACCTCAGGTCACACACACACACAACCCTCACACACCTCAGGACACACACACAATCCTCACACACCTCAGGAGACACAACCCCTCACACACATCGGTACACACACACAACCTCTCACACACCTCAGGACCCACATTCCCATGGTTAGAATGACATGCAGGGACAAAAGTGCCTCTGTTTCCTCTTTGTGGTAGTTTCTTCGTTCATTCACGACGTCGGTGTTTACTGCCTATTGCATGCCAGTGGCTTGCACAACTATCCGGGTGACACACAGCACGAGCAGCCTCAGGGGAGCCCCAGGTGTGTTTTCCACAGGCAGCACGTGGATGAGAAGGACGGCCAGGGCTTAACAGGAACGTGGACTGTCGCTTGTTCCTCACTCTCTTCTCTATCACAAAAATCACACGACAATTCAGATGGAGATGCATTTTGTGAAATGATGAAAATTTGAATCCTGTCTCCTATTTAGACTCACGTATATTATTTTCCCTTCATAAAAATATTTTTTCTAGTAAATAATTTGACATCCAAACAAAGTTTATATTTCTTCAAGAATGTATGCTCAGAGAAATGAGCTCTTACTACACGTTGCATATTGAAGACCTGATATTAAACACATGGTTTTTGTCAATGAGAAGGAGCAGTTTGACTCTTTCCAATGTCCTTTGTGGATGGACGGACTCCACTGACAATGAGATTCTTTGCTAGAATTGCAGGTTTGGGATGTTTAATTATTATCTGAGCTGGTCCAGTGGTCACGCTGAGTGAGACGCTCATGCCCCTTTAAGACAGAAAGTCCGTTGGAACCGTCTGCTGCTCCCTGGTCTCTGGAGGTGACGCGGGAGGACTTGGGGACAGCTGTGGGGACACGGCCCAGATGATCCGGTCCCAGCAGAAGTAACTGGCGGGGATCAGGTGTTGTGATCAGGTCTGGTGTTGGGGCTGAGGGAAGGGGTCTTCCCCGGACTGAGGGGGTCACGAGTTTGGGGCCGAGGACACTGGGGTATCCCCTCAGAGGAGCCGGAAAGAAGGAGCTTCCTCAGGGCTGTGAGGACCGTGGACCCCCGCCCACTTCCACAGAAACTGTCCCAGTCCCCGCGGGGAGGGAACGGCCAGGGATCCGCTTACTGGTAGGTCTTGCTCTTGACCTTCGATTCGCTTCCATCAGGAGACTCTCTTTTAAACAGCATTTCTGCGATCACTGTGGTTAAACTTCATTCTCAGGTTTGTATACAGTGAGAAGTTTATGAATAAACAGTTGGGGTTTCGTTGGGGGCCACTCGCTTCCTAAAACCCAGAGGGTGAAGCAGGGGTGGGAGCGGCTTTCAGAGAGGACCCTGCAGGCTTGCAGGAAGCTTTGCATTTCCTCTTTTGTTTTAGTTTTCTGATTGCTGTGAGCTTCCTAGAACTGGCATAAATGCTGTACCTATAAAAAGAGGTTTCCTTTCCGCGTCTTCACCATGAATTCACAAAAGACATCTGATGGTTCAAGACTCAGACTCAACAGTGGTGGGTCTGCCTGTGCCCTCCAATGGGTGCTGATCCAGTGGTGCCGGTTAAAGGGCTGAGAATTCCCTCAGGGTCGCACGTGACCATCCACTCACATCCCACTCACACTCGCGACCATTCCACTTACATCTGCTCACACCCATTCACATTCCACCCACATCCGCTCACACCCCACTCACATCCCACTCACACCCGTGACCATTCCACTCACATCCCACTCACACCCGCTCACACCCCACTCACATCCCACTCACACCCGTGACCATTCCACTCACATCCCACTCACCCGCTCACACCCCACTCACATCCCACTCACATCCGTGACCATTCCACTCACATCCCACTCACACTCGCGACCATTCCACTCACATCTGCTCACACCCATTCACATTCCACTCACACCCGCTCACATCCCACTCACATCCCACTCACACCCATGACCATTCCACTCACATCCCACTCATACCCCGAGACCATCCTGCTCACATCTGGTCACACCCATTCACATTCCCCTCACACTTGCTCACACCCCATTCACATCCCACTCACACCCCATTCGCATCCCACTCACATCCCACTCACATCCCACTCACACCCACTCACACCCACTCACACCCCATTCGCATCCCACTCACATCCCACTCACACCACCTCACACCCCGCTCACACCCTTCTCTGGATGACCAGAGTGCATTAAGTGTCAGGCTGATCTAAGATCTAAAGCATTTTCCACGGAGGATGGTGGAGAGCCAGGTGTGGACGGCTCAGTCCCTCCGTCTGTGGATGGTGAGAGTGTGTTAGGCGTCAGGCTGATCTTCTAGGAACTGAAGTGTTTTCCGTGGAGGATGATGGAGAGCCAGGTGTGGACGGCTCAGTCCCTGCATCCGTGGTGTCCTTTCACCTGGTCAGCTTCGGGCTTGGGAATGTGCACAGGACCCCAGGGGAGAAGAGCAGCTGTGGTTCCTGCTTGCCCTTAGGTTGAGGCTGGGGCCTTCAGCCCACACTGAGTGGGTAAGGGGGGTGCATTCAGACATCGCCGTAGCTCTTCCCTTCCCAACCAGGATGCTGGAGGGTCAGCTCGAGGTCGGGGAGCCTGAGGAGGGCACCCACCCAGAAGACCCACGCCCGGGAGCTGGGGCTGCCATGGAGAAGACAGCTGCGGCCGCCGAGGTGCCCAGGGAGGATGGCAATGCCGGGGAGATGCCGGTGAGCTGACCTCTGTGGGGACAGAGTTAGTCCCACCAGGCGAGACCCTGATTCCTGTCCCTGAGGGCTGTCATTGGACTTTCCCCTCACCGGACCCCTGTAGGAATGAGCTACCCTGGGACGCTGATGCTGAACTTCCTCTCCGAGGGACACGTGGCTCTCTTCCCCTCTGCAACCTTCTCTCTTAGTGGATGGGAGACAGGATGGGGAGTTAAAGAAAATATTAACATTCCAGCTTTTCTCCTCTAATCCAGGAGAAGGCACCAGGCTTTAAAAACTTCAGTAACGAAAATCAGAAGGTTGACATGCCTCACACCATCCCAGCAACCCCCTTCCTCACCGGACCCTGTTGGACAGTGCTTGCTCTCATGAAAGTGCCACGGGTCCTTGTGGTCAGGGCCACACAGTGCAGGGCTCACGATTCCACTTATTCTCAGAACCAGGCTGGAGGTTCTATGGTCCGATCAAGACCAGCCTGGCCAACATGGCAAAACCTCATCTCTACGAAAAATACAAAAATTAGACAGGTGTGGTGCTGCGCACCTGTAATCCCAGCTACTGAGGATGCTGAGGCACAAGAATTGCTTGAAACTGGGAAATGGAGTTTGCAGTAAGCTGAAATCGCGCCACTGCACTCCACCATGGTTGACAGAGCAGGACTATGTCTTAAAAAAAAAAAAAAAAAAGAAGGAAAAAGAATGCCAACCTCTTATTGCCGTAGTAGTGTTTTAACAAAGAATTATAATTCACGGAACATCTATATCTGGTTATATCATGCAGACTAACACATAATAAACACTACTTAATAAGACTAAAGCTATAGCCAGGCATGGTAGCTTATGCCTGTAATCCCAGGACTTCGGGAGGCCGAGGCAGGTGGATCGCTTGAGCCCAGGAGTTGGAGACCAGTCTGGGCCACATGTTGAAACCCTATGTCTACTAAAAATACAAAAATTAGCCAAGTGTGGTGGTGCATGCCTGTAGTCCCATCTATTAGGAAGGCTGAGGCAAGAGAATCACTTGAGCTCATGAATTTGAAGCTTCAGTGAGCTGAGATCATGCCACTGCACTCCAGCCTGGGTGACAGAGTGAGACCCCGCCTCAAAAAAAAAAAAAAAAGAAAGAAAGGAAAATAAGGAAAAAGGCTGTGGTAGTCCTGTTTATCTCATCGGGTGTCTTTCTGTCTAGAAAGATGTTGGTCTTACACCAGAGAGGGCTTGAGTATTTTGTAGATAAATGCACCCATTGTGATGTCTGAGAGGTTTTCTGTTGTTGTCTTCCCAATAACAGCCATTACAGCAGCAGATCTCCAGACTCTACCAAGAGCTCGGGAGACAGGAGTCTCTGTGGGCTGATGTTCACAGAAAACTCCAGAATCATATAGATGCTTTGAGGAAGCAGAACCTGGAGCTCCGAGAAGAGCTGAGAGATCTGAAGAGGCAGCAATGGGAAGCCAGGAAGAAACCTGCAGCGTCCCGACACGCAGGGCGAGAATCACACACTCTGGTACCAAAAGTGCATTTGTGTTTTTGTGTCATTTGCATTATGTAAAAATAGCGTCCCCATAAAGATGCGGATTTTATCACTGGGTGACGTGGTATCACTCACGCTCCAGGTGGTGGGGGGTTCCCTATCTTTCCATCAACTCCATTTCCCGTAAGTAATGATTAAAGAACTGGGTACATCAGGCCTCTCAGCTGGCGCTCCAGCAGACAGAAGCACAGCCGCCTCCAGGCTGCATGTCTCACGTCTAGAATTCTAAGACATCTCATGATGCCTCAGGACAACAGCAGCAGACCCTTACTGTGGACTTTACATGGGCTAGGTAGGGAGCTTTACCGTCTTACTCTCTACAACGACCCTATGAAATGGATATTATTACTAACTCCATCACAGCCATGGGCTGGAGAACGCAGAGCTGGGATTCGAACCCAGACTGACTCCAGAGCCAGCTCAGGGGCCTGGTGTCCTTCTGTTCATCCACTAGGACAGCTGTGTAGAATGCGATAGAGACCTGTTGAAATGGGAAAAGTTCCCTTGTCCTCCTCGCAGGGTGTGCGATGGGGGTGTGGCTCGCTTCCTCAGTGTCCCACTGCTCAAACCTCCAGGGGAGCGTAGAGACCGGCAGGCTGTGCAGCTCCGACCCCACGGCAGTGTCTGGGGTGAATGTTTACAGCTGAAGCCCCAGTGGGTGTGTGTTACAGGGCGCTCTTTCAGTTTAGCTGTCTGTAGGTGGCTTGTGTTTATCAGCTCAGTTAGACCCTCTGCCCTATCACTAGGACAGAGGGCTTTCTGTATTCTGGGTTCTTGCCTTGGTGTACCTGAAAAAAACAGATCACACGTGGGCTTGGAGGATGGGTGCAAGGTTTTGTATTGGGTGATGGTAGCTCTCAGCAGACGGGGGAGCCAGAATGGAGATGGAGTGGGAAGGTGGTTTTCCCATGGAGTTGGGCTG